ATTTGCTTGTCTACGATATTTTGCTTTATTTGTCAACGAAATAAAATGGAAATGTAGGATTTTTTTCACACAAAAGTAGTATTCCATTCTACTCGCTGTCCTAAACTCTAACTTTATGCGAGATTTTGTGTCCTTTGCTTTCTATTTGTGACCCTTATAACGGCTCAAAATCAGGAACATTTTTAGTTGTTGGTCCATTTCAACACCTAAATACATTGCGGACATCTTTGAAAACAATAGGTCTAGCCCTTCTGAGCCTAATCCTAACCTTATGAAAATTTTCGTGAGGATCGGACGATAATTGCAATCTGCATATAATAACCCCAATCTGTGTTGTAAGGTGAAAAAATATTACAAAATATACACTTCAATATTATAAGTCAAATTGAAAAAATCGCATGCGATAAAAAAAAATATGAAAAAAAAAAAAAACAAAATATATTAACGTCATTTTCGGCATTTTTTATGCGATTTCTTTATATTTTATTCTTTTATGCCAAGAGGGCAATCTGAATTGACAAATTTTGTAAAAATCGGCCCAGCCATTTTTGAGATATAAGCATTCTAGCTGACATCCCTTTCCTTTGTATATACACATTGTATATTTTTCGCTATATATATCCGATATATTTACTATCGACATCTAGGCAACGGTCAGAATTGACCTGTTCGCCTATTTGTGATTCACCGTTATTAAAAATATTCGCGGATTAATATAAAATTTGATTTTTATTTAACAGAAATGTTATGGTCTATTTCACCCACTAAAGATAACCCGATGGCCATCCAAATTGGAAGACTTCTGCCCAGCCCTAAACTCTAGCCACATGCTAACTTCCTCTGCGATTGGTCTATAAGTGCGACCTGTGGAGCAACTGCAAAATCAGGAAATTTGGCAGTTTTTTGGTCCATTTCAACAACTTAATATTATGCAATCATCTTCAAAAGTAATAGGCTTCTATTCTGACCATAACTCCACCTCCATGCAATTTCGTGAGAATCGGGCATAACGTAGACCTGTAGAGTGATTACAAATTAACATGAACAGACGGACGGTCGACATACATAGCAAGATCGCCCCAGCTCGGCGAGATAGGAAGATCCATATTTACTTTCCTCTTTGGGAAACCAATATTTCGTGGTGTTACATAATTTTTGGCCCAATCAAACTTATAATACCCCCAACACATAGTGTTGTAGGGTATAGATATACACTTCAAATCAATTTTCAACAACATAAATTCAGTAGAAGTTGCATATTCTCTATTCAAAATAATTTCTGTTAGAAATCGAAATCGAAAATGTGACAAATCACGAATAACGGTGAGTGTGTTTTTCTTGGTAATTTGAACAAAATATGTTCCCTTAAAGTGATTACCAATAAATATTGGCCAATAATTCATGTTCTACACGGCGGCGCAACATCAAACGTGTAACAAAAAAGGACTGAGTGTCCATCCCAGTAAAACTCTCCCTTTTGTTTCAAATTTTTTTTTATTTCATTTTCTGTCCGTCTGTCTCAATTGACAAAAATCCCCTCAGACAATTGACAATTGTCACAGAAAAAAAATAACAAAAACACAAAATCGAAATTAAATTGAAATGAAACGAATTCAATTGTCCGCAATGTGAATTTGATTTGTTGGCATTTTAGTCATACACAGCACGTACCTCGTTTTATGGCAGATGATCGTGTACTCCGATAGCATTGATGGGTACAACATTACCTACCAAATTTATCCTCATCAGACTCACACTCACGCACTCGCATTCAATGCACTAAACTGCAATAATGCCCACCAATAACAACAACAACAACAATAACAATGCAATATTTAATTGTCAATGAATATATATGTGTGTAGGTACAATGTGTCGATGTGTATGTATAGTTGTGGGCCGCTTCGATGGCTGGTCGAATGGATAGATGAATGTGTGAAACGTTGTGGAACAATGTCAACCAGGACATAGATTTATAACGCTCATTAGACGCTCAATAGGATAACAATGAGTGGATGTGAGAGGCATTTACAAGGAGGCACTTCAAAATAAACCTTATTCCACAGAGGTAGCAGCAGCAGCGTTTTTAAGTGGCGCCTGTGTGGTCAACGTGTCAAAGGTGAACAATTGACAATGACAATTGTCCAATAGGTCAGTACAAATGTTTTCTTTTGTTGTCGTGATTTTTGTGAGGCCTGCACTAAAATTTACAGCTGAAAATTATTTCATTCGATTCGTAAGCCAAAAATTATGAAATATGTTATTCAACAATGGATGACGTATTTTTTGCAGCTGTAATTTCGCTGTCTATAGGGCCAATTAATCGAGACTGTTTTTAGCCATATTTAACTCGTGGGCAATATGGCATCTGCTAGAATAACCAGAAGATAAAGGCTAAATTCGGGCGGGGCCGACTTTATGATTTACGAATTTACAAATGATTTAATTCCAACTATGATCGTTTTGGAATGCGTATTATGGTTTTAAAGCACTCATAACTTAAAACTGAACGAAACTAACATATATGGGAGATATATCCTCCTCTGAATCGATTGGTAATAAAAATGACGGAGGCATTTGTGTCTGAAGCAATAATAATCAAAATCCATTCCATTTGAACTGATATTACACTTTTTAGGCACAGTAAACATGAAATCGGATGAAGATATATATAGGAGCTATATCCAAATCTGAATAGATCTCTATAAAATTAAGCAGAGATATTTCTATCCTGAATCTGATAGATGGTACCAAATATTGTTGTTGTGGAGGGCATTTTAGTGCAAGTGTGTGGTACATAAATGCCAAATCGGATGAAATATAAAAATATGGGACATATACTCGACTCCAGTTGACCTATATTGACTTCTTGAACTCCACCTAGCCTGTGTAGACTCCCTAGATTCTAGTTGGCCTATATAGATTTCTGGAACTACTCATAACCTATATAAACTCCCCAGCCCAGATTAGATTACCTGGATTGCAGTTGGTCTATATAGACTCACTGGACTCCAGCTGGCTAGTATAGGCTCCCGGACTCTATATAACCTGTATAGACTTCCTGGACTCCAACTTGGTTAAATAGAAACCTTGGACTTCAGCTGGTCTATACAACAATGGCCCGATCCTCACGAAATTTTTCCATATAGTTGGTGTTATGGTCAGAATAGAAACCCATAGTATTTAGGGGTGAAAATGGGTCTTAAGAAAAAATTTTCGTAATGTTACAGACTCGGAATTTAGCATGGGTTTAGGGCTGGGAAGAATCCTACCAATTTTGATAACCATCGAATATGTATGGGAGCTATACCCAAACATCAACCGATTTCAATATAATTTGGCAAATGTATTTTATAAAAAATCCCGTCACTCATTCCAAATTTCATTAAAAACGAACATACATCTGAACCGATTTTATTATTATCTGACAAATTTATTTTTGTACCAAATTTAGTCACTTATGCCGGATTTCATTGGAATCGGATATACGTAACGTGTTGGGTGCATCAAATATGTAAATCGGCCGAAAATATATATGAAAGCTATATCCAAATCTGTACTGATTACAATATAATTTGGCAGATATATTTTCTGATCAAATCCCGCCACTCATTCCAAATTTGGAGACTGTATCTGCAATCGATTAATTGCAAAATATAAAATCTAAATTTTTGGGAGGTACCTTCAATTCTGATGCTATATTTCCAGTTCCAAGTGGAATTTCAAAAATGAATATAGCATACGTTACTTTCAGGCGATGTAGTAGTATATTTGGAAATTTTCAAGGAAATCTGTGCGGCGGTTTTCGAGCGACATTATTCAACGGAATTGTTTTAAGTTTGTATTTGAAGGTCCTAATGCATGCTACAGCCGAAATCACAATTGAATTCCATCACGAATCATTCAGTGGAATAATTTTAACAGCTGTCGGACGAGTAGCTTAGCAAAAACAGCAGTCTATCTTTCGAACGAATAGATATAGAAGGCTAAAATTTTGCACACATGTCTATTTTGCCAGTAGGCAGGTTAAGTTCGTAAATGGGTCATGTAGGTCCACGTTATCATATAGCCCCCATATAACGGTACCTCCCGATATTCGGTATTTTGATGATTTTAGCGACAATTTTCATCGGAATAGCTTCATATTTGGCATTTGAAGTTCGAAATGGATACTACAGCCTCAGGCAGAATATTGTCTGTGCAAGTCCACGTCTTCGTATAGCCCCCATATAACGGTACCTCCCTATATTCAGTATTTTAATGATTTTAGCGACATTATTCACCGGAAATGTTTCAAATTTGGTGTTTGAAGTTCGAAATGGATACTAAAGCCTGAGACTGAAAATTGTCTGTAAGTCCACGTCTTCGTATAGCCCCCATATATCAGTACCTCCCCATTCTCGGTATTTTGACGATTTTAGGTACAATACTCACCGAAATTGTTTGAGATGTCGTATTTGAAGTTCGTAATGGATGCTACAGCCTGTGACAGAAAATTTTCTATGCTGATTCAGGACTTCGCACAGCTCCGTATAACGGTACATCCCTATATACGATATTTTAATGATTTTAGCTACATTTTTCACCGTTTATTTCAAGTTTCAGTTTTAATATTGTAATGGCTTATGGCAAACAATGTCTATGTAGGTCCACGTCGTATAGAACTCAATATAACGTGTATATTCGGTATTTTTAAGATTTTAACAGAATTTTTTAAGGATTTAATTTTTTTTAAATTTCCAAATTCGTTCCAAATGGTGGAGGGTATCCAAAGTTCGGCCCGGCCGAAATTACTGCTTTTTAACTTGTTTGTGTTATTTTTTACAATTTCAAGTTCTATCGGGCTTAAAAACACCCTTTATTAGATACAATCATTTCAGAAAGAAATAAAACAACAATAGTTTTTTGTCTTTTCTGTCTTCAGCATTTGCAATTTATTTTTTGTATTTAATTTTATTTTACATACTATGAGGCAAAATGTGTAAAAGAATATATATTTATAAAAAAATGCTACAATTTATAATAATAATAATAATGAATACTAACTATATCACAGTAGCTGTTAAATAAATAATTAATACAGGGTGATAATAATAAATATGGGCATGCATACAGTTGATAAAAAGGCGAACTAAAAAATAGCGAATAAAATCAATAACCAAAGAATTCGACTTTGTGATTGAATAAATAATTAATTTAAAATCCAAATGGAATATAATATAAACAGAAATTGATAATTATGTTTGTAATTCAAAATGAAATTGATGAATTCAATAACCTAAGGCGAAAGTTTTCATAAAAAATTGATGTCATGGAATTATTAGGTTTTGTAAAATAGAGAGGTTTTTTCTTTTCAAAAAATATATTCGTTTTGAAGCCTAAATCGGGTGATAGACTCATTCGAGTTAAGCTGCCTTGTGGGCGGTGGTGGGTGGTTGGGTTTCGGTTGTTTTTTTTTATTTCGAAACTTTTCATAATCTTATACTCTTTATTGTTTCCTTTGCTGCCTTCTCTGATTTTTTCTACCATTTCCGGCTTGTTTTCGGCCACTCTGATTTGCAGTGGAGCCTTGTGACATTTTCGACGTTTGATTCTTTGGCACACTCATTCGATTCGTTGTTCGGCGTAATAACTTAATGAATTTTCTTAAATAGGTTAAATAACGAGATTTAACAAATTTCAAATCTATTGGACTAATATGTTTCAAATTGTTGTCATTAATGTCTGCGTTTTTGTTCCATCTCAGCGGTGAAACCTTTTTAATGTCAGTGTCGAATTGCAGTAGCTTTTCCATTCTTCGCCGTGATATTAGCAGCGAATTAATGGTCCGGGCTGCTTTGGATTTCGATGTTGTATTGTTGACAGCATGCTCAATATTGCAGAGAATCGAACGGGCATTGTTACGCAATGTCAGAAGTTCACGTGAGGTTTGACTCTGCTGCATACCTTTGTTGTAGTCCCAATCAAGTTGGGCCCGATGCAAGTAGTCGAAGGCAGCAACATAGGTTTGCATTTGACGATGGCAGCGACGGAGAGATATCTGCAAGTAACAAAGTAAAGGACATTGTTTTAATATTAGAATATTTTTTAAAAAATATAAATTATTACAAAAAACGAAGAGGAAAAATTAAAAGTCGGGCTGAGCCGACTGTATGATACCCTACACCACTATACATATTTAGTAGAGTTGCCGTAAAAAAAGAATTTATTTGAAGTAGATCATACCACCTATCAACATTTAGCATTAGAGCAGTTTGAATTTGGCTTTAGAGGAAGTAATACATGGGGCAGCCGAGTTCCACCAAATGGAAACATACGTCCCAAAATTCACTCTATTTGGGCTGATATTGGCCATTATTTGCACAATAAACTTGAATTCGGATTAAGAAATATATATTGAAGCTATATCCAACTCTTGTCCGATCTCGATAAATTTTGACAAAGGTATTTCCGAGCTCTATGAGATATCTAGTACCAAATATCATTGTTATTAGCTACATATTACGAATGTGAGGGATTTAAACACCAAATCGAATAAAACATATATATGGGGGCTACAGCTATATCTGAACCGATTTTTACCAATTTGAACGTACTAGACTGAATTTCGCCGGAAGTGCCAAGAATAAGTCCATTTGGGCTGATATTGTTCATTTGGAGCACAAAAAAACCTCCAATCAGATAAAGATATATATGAAAATTTTTTTTGTTGTTGTATTCTTCGATATATATGAGAGATATATCCAAAACTCAACCGATCTTGAGAAAATTTTATAGATTTATTTTTGCGCTGAATCTGATATCTGGCACCAAAGATTATTCCTGTGGTCATGCATGTGAGAGACTTAAACACCAAATCGGATGAAACATTTATACGGGAGCTACAGCTATATCTGAACCGATTATCACCAAATTTAACAAAAAATTTTAAAATGCAGTCCATTTGACCTGATATTAGCCATTTGGTGCACAAAAAAAAAAAAAAAACATGAAATCGGATACATATGTGAGAGCTATATCCAAATCTCATCCGATCTTGACAAAATTTTATACACTTATTTCTGGGCAGAATCTGATATCTGGTACCGAAGATTATTGTTGTGTATAAAACCGATTTTCATCAAATTTGAAGTGCTGGCTTCTAGGACAATTTTCATCGGAGGTGCCAAAATTGAGTTAATTTGTGCTGATATTGGTCATTTCGGGTTCAAAAAACCTGAAATCGGATAAAGATATACAGGGTGATGAAAAAACTGCAACCAAATTCAGACTGCTGTCATTTCTAAGCTACTCGTCCGACAGCTGTTAAAATTATTCCAGTGACAGCTCATTATATTGTTTACAAGCGTACAAAAGCATTTTGGTTAGAATTTTCCAGAAAATAAGTGATTCGTAATGCAATTCAAGCGTGTTGGTGTGCTTTCTTTATATTTGGCTGGAAAACCACCAGCGGCTATTATTAGAGCACACCAGCATTTAAATGTGAATAAATCTTTTGTGACTCGTTGCCGTGATACTGGTAGCGTAGCCCGACTTCAAAGAAGTGAACAGAAGGGAAGATAACAGCAACATCAGCAGAAATGGTTCGAAAAGTAAAGAAGCGACTTGATCGAGCCCCGCGTCGCAGTGGCCGAAAAATTGCTCGTAAGCTGCTGAACATATCGCAATATTTCATTCGGCAAATATTGAAAAATGAGTTCGGGATAAAGTCGTTGAAATTCCAAAAAAGTGCAAGAACTTACACAGCAACCGAAAGAAAATAGACTCAAAAGGCCTAAAGAGTTGCTTCGCTTGGCCGAAAGTGGTGAACTGCCGTATTTGGGTTTCTCCGATAAGAAAACATTCGTTGTCCAGCAGTTTGTAACCAAACAAAATGATAGTATTTATTTGCCAAAGAGGTCAGCTGAAAATGTGCACCTTCGGTTGACCACCAGAACTCAAGCGCCGTCCAAGGTAATGGTGTGGGCCGCCATTACGGCCGATGGTCGCTCTCCGCTCGTATTAATCGACCGTGGCATCAGAATAAATGCTGAATATTATCGCTAAAATATTCTGTATGGTATATTAAGGCCTTGGGCTCGCAAACATGTTGGCCGCAGACCTTGGCATTCCAACAGGATTTCCCACCATCGCACTCAGCACGCGCCACCCAAGAATGGTTAAAAAACAAGGTTCCACGCTCCATTTCCAGCGCACAATGGCCACCAAAATCTCCGGATACCAATCCGTTGGACTATTGTGTCTGGAGTATTTTTGAAAGCAAGGTTGGCACTAAAAAATACCAAAGTGCCGATCACCTCAAGCAAATGCTTCGCCGGAAATGGACCGAAATACCGTAGAAAAACATTCGGGCTGCATATAACGGTTTCAAGTGCCGCTTGATGGGCATTTTTTGTGCCAAAGGTGACCAATTCGAACAAATCTAAACTTATTCTAAAATTTGATGCTATTTCCGACATTTTTTGCTTTCATTCAATAGAAAGAAATAAATTGTAAAAATTATGGCCTGATTGGTGAGCAATAACCGTAAAATCAGATGAAAATGTGTATCGAACTAAATCTGAACCGATCGCAATAAATTTGGCAGAGGTATTTTCGAGTTGTATTTTATGTGCGGCCCAACTATCATTGTTGTCGAGAGCATATTTAGCATTTGAGGGACTTTCACACCAAATCGAATGAAACTGAATGAAACTCGGGGGCTATAGCTATATCTGACCATATTTAATGTAGTTGCTTCTGGTCTGAATTTGGATATGCCAAACTTCAGGTCATTTCAGATCATTTGGTGCACAATTAATTCGAAATCGGTAGAAGATATATATGGGAGCTATATCTAAATTTTGAACCGATTCTCATCAATTTAAATAGGGTTCGTCTTTAGGCCAAACAAATATTGTTTGGAGAATTTCATCTCAATCGGATAATTAATGCGACCTGCATTTTGTTCACAAAAGTTCATGGGTAGATGGACAGACGGACGTACTGGACAAGGACATAATACCCTTACCACTATGTGGTGCAGGGTATAATCATATTTGTGTATTCTATGGTTCAAAATAAAAACAAAATATACAATTCCGTAATATTTTTCAATTAATTTCCGCTAGACATTGCGAATTGCCACACAAACACACACCGTTCACGATTTCAATGCGGCGGCACAGTTCAATGAACTTCTATTATTTGATCAATCATTTCGAATGACAATTCGAGTGCACACTCGGCTTACACCACACACTCATCTGGTGAATGATGTGTGCCAACACTGAATTCATTGATGGCATTAAAACAATTACAAAAAAAAAAAACTATTAATAATTCATTGAAAACAAATAAATAGCTATAGCTTTGAATAGATTCTAAATACATTGAGAGAAAAAGTATTTAAAAACTAATAAATCAATACGATTCGATATGCAATAGCTTGTGGACACCGCATTGTACAATACGATCATTCATGCCGCATTTGATAAACCCAACACGAATGTTCGAATGTTTTTATTTGAGCAAAGGCTCAAAAATTAGATAATAACGTCCTTATGGGGGCACTGCAAAAAATTTAATCTACAGTCTAGAATTTGTGTGGCAGTCATATCAGTTGTCACAGCCATTCATATAGGGCATACGCCAGTCACGTGCATATGTACCTGTAGGAAAAAATCAATTCTTGAGTCGATTTTTTAATCAGTTGGGGTTTTTTTATTCGATTGCAGTATTCATCATCACAAAACTTCAAAACACTCAAAATTCAAAGGAATTGTTATGTGAGACGATAATGTATAAATATTGAAAACCTTTGGCAGATGAGATTTTAGTCATGAAGAACAATAAATATCAAATTAGATTAGATTAGAAGAAGTTGGTCTTTAAATTAGGCTCCGTTATATAAGGACCGAAACGTTGACTTTAATTGATCAATATAACTTTTTTTAACAAATTTCAAGGTCCTATATTTCGTATTGTGTTCTCTATTTTGATTCCAAGATACAGATCAAAAATGTGTGGGGTCTCAGGCAAATATTTCGAGGTTTTGTAATGGGAATGTCTGTATTATGGAGAAGAATATAACAATTATTCAATAAACTATCCGAATAATTGTTTAATAAGTAAGTGTTGAATACCTCAACACCTCATTGTAGATAAACAACAAGTTTCGTATTAGCCGCAAATAAAGTAAAAAAAGTAATGATAATAAATAGCAACAACACCGCATTTCATTTAATCGCAAAATAAGCTAATTAAAAAAAATGGAGACTGGTAATGACAAGAGCTGGATACTGAATTTAAATATAAACAGGTAAACAGGGCTGAAGTTTTAATACCATCTACCATTTTGAAAGAAATTGAAAATTTTCAAAAAACCAAAAAGAAAAAAAAAAAACAGTAAAAAAAAGTCTTATAGTCGGGCGGGGCCGACTTTATGATACCCTTCACCACCTTGCTAATTTAGTAGATCTCCACATAACAATTAAAAGTTTTTATGGGAGAATTCAATCATACACGCTATGATTATAATTATAATTTAAAGTTCAAAAGATTAAATATGCCGAAGCATTTGTATCTTTTAAATTCGGACTTGTATTGCCTATTTGCTGCACAATTAATTTGAAATCGGATAAAGATATATATGGGAACTATATCCAAATCGGAACCGATCTCGATAAAATTTGGCAAAGATATTTCTGAGCTGTATTTGATATATTTCCCTGAATATCATTATTACGGAGTGCATATTATGGTTGTGGGTAATAAATATAGCAAATCGGATGAACAATATATATCGAAGCTATAGCTATATCTGAACCGATTTTCACCAAATTTATACTAGCTTTTAGACTCAATTCGGTCGTAAGTGCCAAATTCCATCCCATTTGGACAAATATTAGACGTTTGGTGCACAATAAAAGGTAAATGGGACGAAGTTATATATGGGAGCTATATCCAAATCTGAACCGATCTCGATAAAATTTAGCAAGTGGATTTCTGAGATGTATTTGCTATATTGTTTCCAAATATTGTTGTTACAAAGTGCATATTGCGGCTGCGGAGGACAAAAATAACAAATCGGATGCACAATATATATGGGAGCTATAGCTCTTTCTAACCGATTATGATCAAATTTGGGATACTTATTTTCAGGCCTAATTTGATTGTATGTGCAAAATTCCATACTATTCGGGCTTATATTACACGTTTGGTGCACAATAAAAGGCAAATCGGACGAAGATATATATGTGAGCTATATCTAAATGTTACCGATTATCTCCAATTTCAATAGGGTTCGTCCTTGGGCCAAACAGATGATCTGTGCAATCATCTGGATAGGGCAATAAATGCGAACTGTACTTTGTTTACAAAAATACATGGACAGACGGACGGACAGACAGACGGACGGAAATGCATAAATCGACTCAGAATGTGATTCTATGCAGATCATCAAAAGGAACTGTGGGTCAATCTCGTTTCCTTTTACCTGTTACAAACAAATGCACAAAGACATAATACCCTGACCACCTTGTGGTGTAGGGTATAAAAAAACTGATCCGTAGAAAAATACCTCACAAATGAAACCCCATACATGAGAGCTATACGAATAACTAAGTAAGTATTTTTTTGTCATAGGAAATTAGGAAATTTGAAACAATTCTGGTAAAAAAATGTCGCTAAAATCATCACAATGCCAAATATCGGAAGGTATCGTTATATGGGGGGTATACGAAGACTTGGACCTGCATACGCAATTTTTTGCACCTATTCCGAATTTTAAATACGAACTTTTAAATAATTGCGGAAAAAATACCGCTAAAATCATCAAAATACCGAATATTGGTAAGTACCGTTATATGGGGGCTATACGAAGACGTGGATCTACATGGCCCATGCCTACTGGTAAAATACACATGTATGCAGACTTTTAGCCTTCTATCTCCATTCGTTTGATTACAACAGATAGACGGACATCGCTAATCGACTTATAATTTGACCCTGATCAAAAATATATATGCTCTGTATGTACAAGGTTAATATACGCTCTATAAATTTGATAACATTTTACTCAGATATGTGTTTGGTCTGCAGGACTTTTGGCATTGAAAACGAGCTATATAGTTCCACGTTTTGGTATTGCCACCACATAACGCTACCTCACTACATTCGTTAGTGTAATGATTTTTGCGACATTATTCACCGGAATTGTCTCAATATTTGCAGCTTGTAATGGGTCCTACAACCTGTGACAGAAATTTGTTTATGCTAGTCCACGTTCTCATATAGCCCCCATATAACTTTATCTCCCTGTATTCGGTATATTGTTGATTTTAGCGACATTATTCACCGGAATTGTTTCTAGTTGGATGAAAATGTTTCAAATTTCGTATTTGAAGTTCGGACGCGTTACTGCAGCCTATGACAAATAATTATTTATGCAGGACCACGTTTTCGTATAGCCTCCAGATTTCAATTGAGTGGTATTTTCGACGGAAATTTTTGGAATTTTTGAAATTTCTTTTAAATGGTGGAGGATATTTAAAGTTCAGCCTGGCCGCTAGATGGTATATAAGGTTTGTCATTCCGTTTGTGTCTCATCGAAATAATAATTCTAGACCCTAAAAAGTATATATACAGTGTGAGATAAAAAAAACTGCGAATGCCATAATTTTCAAATTTTATTGAATGAAAGCAAAAAATGTCGGAAATGGCATCAAATTTTGGAATAAGTTTAGATTTTTTCCAATTGGTCACCTTTGGCACGAATTATGGCCTTCAAACGGCCAATGAAACCGTTAAACTCTGCCGAAAATTGTTCGGCGGCATTTTGGACCATTCCCGGAGAAGCTCTTGGTTGCGGTGATCGACAATTTGGTGTTTTTCTAGTGCCGGCCTTGCTTTCCAAAATACTCCAGACACAATAGTACAACGGATTGGTATCCGAAGATTTTGGTGGCCATTGTGTGCTGAAAATGAAGCAAGGAACCTCATTTTGTAACCATTTTTAGGTGGCGCGTGCTGAGTGCGATGGTGCTGAGTCCTGTTGGAATGTCCAAGTTCTGCGGCCAAAATGTTTGCTTGTCCAAGGCTTTAATGCACCCTCCCTTTTCGCGATTTCGGCATTTATTCTGATGCCTCAGTCGATTAATACGAGCGGAGAGCGACTATCGGCTGTTATGGCGGCCCTCACCATGGCCGGCTTGAGTTCTGGTGGCCAACCGAAGGTGCATATTTCCAGCTGAACTCTGCAATATTTTACCATCGGAGATACCCAGTTCACTACTTTCGGCCAAGCGAAGCAACTTTTTAGCTCCTTTGAGTCTATTTTCTTTCCGTTGCGGTGTAAGTTCTTGCACTTTTTGGAATTTCAATGGTTTTACCCCGAGCTCATTTTTCAATATTTGCAGAATGGCATATTGCGATATGTTCAGCTCACGAACCATTTTTCGGCCACTATGGCGCGGGTTTCGATCAGGTCGCTTCTTTACTTTTCGTACCATTTCTGCTGATGTTGCTGTTTTCTTGCGTCCCATTCCTTGACGTCGGGCTACGTTACCAGTATCACGGTAACAAGCGATGGTACGAGACACAAAAGATTTATTCACATTTAAATGCTGAAGTGCTCTAACGATGGCCACTTGTGGTTTTCCAGCCAAATATAAAGAAATCAACACTATCACGTATGACTTCCATCACGAATACCTTTTTTTCTGGAAAATTCTCACCCTAAATGCCTTTGTACGCTTGTAAACAATGTAATGAGCTGTCACTGGAATAATTTCAACAGCTGTCGTACGAGTGGCTTAGAAATAACAGCAGTCTGAAGTTGGTTGCAGTTTTTTCATCTCACCCTGTATTTTTCAAATTGACCATTTTCTATGGATGTCTCACAAAACATATAAAGAAAATATAACAAAAAAGAACGTTCTCTATTTTTTTTTCTGTACCTTACTACTTTTTGACTTGTTAACATTTCAATAGCGCTTAATACATCAGCCTATATTTGTAAATAATATATTTGAATTTTGGAATGCAAATATTTATGGCAAGCAAAAAAAAATATTGAGAGCACTCCACGCATCTTGTCAATTCTAGGTCTTCTAAAATAATGAAAAAAATTATTGAGTAAGCTACAAAATGCTTGCCCCCAACACACAAACACACCCTTCCACCCCCCATCCCATACAAAATAAAACAAAACAAAAACACAAACAAAAAACGATTGGGGATTCCGCTGAAACCAAAACAACAGCAACACCAACAATAACAATACCAACAACCGGCAAATTTATGTGATACAATTGAATGGTGATGATGATTCATTGGCAATTCTATGGCAACTCAATATCTCAATTATTGACGTTAAATAGTTTGTGGTGTGCGCTTTGCTTTATGTATGGAAGCATTGTTTTGACTTATGGCATATCAAAAGCAGACATATGTACTTACATATGCATGTATGTTATGGTGGGGAGTGGGGGGGAGGACAATCATGCTTCCATAAAATTATTGTATGTATTGATTTCCACGCAAAAAAAAAACCACTTTCGAACCCTTCAATATATATTTTTTTTTATATGGCTGTAAAAATTTACCACGTCTGTGACGTCAATGGGTGTCGTAGTTATTGGAATTTCTTAAAATTCTGGTAATTTTTAATGACAACATCATGACTAGGTTAAGTACGGTAAATGCTTGTGTGAATATTGTGAATATCGTCACCACCGACGTACCACATTATTTGATTTAGTTTTTTTTTTTTTTTCATTATATTTACTGTCGTTCAATGTTCCCAGAATTTATTTCGAGATATTTTAGAATTAACATTTTGTAGCTGGTACTTACATTGGATGGTATCTCAATTTGTGGCAAAAATTTATATTTCTCATCGTATTTGTTCCACATGCTCATATTTCGAATATCTATGGCAGCCAATTGTCGGACATTCAGAGAATTATATTCGATGACTGTGGCATTTTGAAGCTTTCGTAATGTCTGAAACAGAAGAGAAAAAACCAAATACAAAGGATTATTAATGGGAAAATGTCAGGGCAAAAGTTCAAGAGGTTCGGAGCGAGTTAGACGGATTAGCAGACAGCTGCATTTTCTCACCCTACGACCATGTACGTATAAAAAAGCAGCAAGTTCGGACGAGCCGAAATTTAAAACCTTCCACCATTTTAAAGGTCCTTGAAAAGTTTCTAAAAAATTCTGTTGAAAAATACCGCTCAAAGTAAAACCTTTATATGGGGGCTATACGAAGGCGTGGTTCTGCATAAGAATTTTTTTGTCCTCGGCTGTAGTATACATTACGAACTTTAAATACGAAATTTGAAAAAAATCTGGTAAATAATATCCCTAAATTCAACAAAATTACGAATACAAGGAGGTACCTTGTATAGGCGCTATATGATAGCGTGAACCTATCTAGACAATTCTCTTGCAGGGGGTTAGGTATTCAGAAGGTTCTCCTTGTGTGGATTTTCGGACAAAACCACCGAAAAATGTGGCTAAATTCATTAAAATCTCGAATATCCGGTGATATACGATGTAGTGGACATATATAGACAAATACCTTCCAGGGGGTAAACTACTCAGAAGGAACTCCTTTTATGGATTTTCAGACAATTCCATTGAAAATGTGCCTAACATCTTGAAAAGAGCGAATATCGGGGTAACCGTAATGTGGTTACCCCATATTCAAACCTGACTTGCCTCCATACAAAAGACTGATCTTTGCAAAATTGTAGCCTCCAATCTTTATTCGTTTATTAGCCTGATTACAACAGACGGACGGACAGAAAGGGCTAAAAAATCTGCTAAAATCATAAAAAAAAACCGAATATAGGGAATTACCGTTATGTGAGACCTACATTGACAGTTCAATGAAAGGAAGTTTCTTGGCTCGACGTCATGGAAGTGGACGGAAGAAAACAGCAACATCAGCAAAAATGGTTCGAAATGTAAAGAAGCGACTTGATCGAAACCCGCGTCGCAGTGACCGAAAATTGCTCGTGAGCTGAACATATCGCAATATTCCATTCGGAAACAATTAGCTTGGGTAAAGCCATTGAAATTCCAAAAAGTGCAACAACTTACACCGCAACAGAAAGAAAATAGACTAAAAAGAGCTAAAGAGTTGCTTCGCTCGGCCGAAAGTGGTGAAATGCCGAATTTGGTTTTCTCCGATGAGAAAACATTCGTTGTCCAGCAGTTTGTAAACAAACAACATGATCGTGTTTACTTGCCAAGGAGGTCAGCTGAAAATGTGCACCTTCGGTTGGCCACCAGAACTCGAGCACCGGCCATGGTGATAGTGTGGACCAACATGACAGCCGATGGTCGCTCTCCGCACGTATTAATCGACCGTGGCATCAGAATAAATGTCGAATATTATCGCATATTATCAAATATTCTGGAGGGTGTATTAAAGCCTTGGGCACGCAAACATTCCAAACCAAACATTCAAACAGGACTCAGCACAAATGCACTCAGCACGCCCCACCCAAAAATTGTTACAAAATGAGGTTCCTCGCCACCAAAATCTCCGGACTTTTGTCTGGAGTATTTTGGAAAGCAAGGTTGACACTAAAAAAATACCAAAGTGTCGATTACCTCAAGCAAGCGTTTCGCCGGGGATGGGCCAAAATACCGCAGAACAACATTCGGGCAGCGTAGGACGGTTTCATTGGCCGTGTGTACCAATTCGAACAAATCTAAACTTATTCTAAAATTTGATGCTTTTCCGATATTTTCGATTTAACGATGTCCGTCTGTATGTCTGTCTGTTTGTGGAAATCACGATACAGGCTAACATTATTTGACGTAGAACTTCAAAATTTGGCAGAGCAATTTGTATTATGTCTAGGATGGTTGGTATTGAAAATCAGATATATCGGTCCACGTTTTTGTATAGCAGCCATATGACGGTACCTCCCGATATTCGGTATTTCGATGATTTTATCGACATTATTCACCGGAATTGTTTCAAAATTTGGTATTTGAAATTCGTAACGGATACTACAGCCTGTGACAGAAAATTGTCAGTGCAGGTGAATGTCCTAATATAGCCCACTTATATTATGGTACCTCCCCATATTCGGTATTTTGATGATTTTAGCGGCATTATTCACCGGAATTGCTTCAAATCAGTTCGTAACGGATGCTACAGCCTGTGACAGAAAATTGTCAGTGCAGGTCAACGTTTTAGTATAGCCCCCATATAATAGTACCTCCCGATATTCGGTATTTTCAGGATTTTAGCTACATTATTCACCGATTTTTTCAAGTCTCGCTTTTGAATATTGTAATTGCTCACAACAAAAATTGCCTTTGCAAGTCTTATAGACCCTAATATAACTGCTACATTCGGAATTTTTAAGATTTAAACAGAATTTTTAACGGTTTTTATTTTTATTTTATTTTTATTTTTTTGAAAATTGCCAAATTTGTACCAAATGGTGTAGGGTATGCAAAGTTCGGCTTGGCCGAACTAAAAGCTTTTTTACTTGTTTTTATTTGTTTATTTATTTATTATTATTATTATTTTTTTTTTTTTGAAAAATGCCAATTTCGTTCCTAATGGTGGAGGGTTTTCAAAGTTCCGCCCGGCCGAACTTACAGCTTTTTTACTTGTTTTTTTTTTAGGTAATAACCCATTACCGGTAATCCCGAAGGTGGTTGGCTTACATTGCCTTGTAATGGGTTTTTTCGGCTCATATGGCAGCCAAGTTCTGGGAGGTTTTCGAAAAAAAAATCATTTATTTTGCTTCATTACTGAAGCCTACAAAAATATTCATGGGCCCGCCCTCAACATTTAATGTAAAATTATTATTCCCCAAATTATTCCCCATATTCACAGCTTCTACTTACCTTTTTCATTGGCGACTTCTTTTTGGCTGTTTTGCTGTCATTTATATTCACATAATGTCCACCGCAGGGATTATACCAGACAATATCATTCGAGTTCATGGTTTGGTCATACAAATCATGCCAACTTGTATGACGTTTGTGTATTAATCTCTCTTCACTTGCAATATCAGTCTCCGATTGGTGTTCGTAATGATGATGATTAGCGTTATTATGATGATTATTATTAATATTGTTGTTGTTGTTGTGGTTATTGTTATTAGTATTGTCCAATAACAAATTTAACTGAGCTTCAGGATGTTGCAAATGGCCATGTTGCATTCGTGTTAAAGGGGCCAAGGAATGGAGGTGCTTTGTGTGGTGTTGTAGTAAATTATGTTGTTGCACCGGAACAGATGCTAAAACCGATAGATCTTGGGCAGCTTGTGATGGTGCTGATGCTGGTGGGGCGGACGACGACGACGATGACGACGTCGACACCGAGGCTCGAACTGGAACTGCCATGGCAAATGCCGCATTTGATTGCTGTACACTTAATACTGTTAATAACATGGTAATCACGGCAAATAGTTGTTTGTAACTGTCTATAGTTAAGGAGGTAATTTTGTAGATTTTATGCGTGCCTAGAGTTAACATCCACCAAAACTGGCAACTACAGCAGCGGCCACCACCTAGGCAATGATGTCGTTGCTGGCAGTTACAATTATGACAACTAGTGATGCTGTTGTTGTTGTTGTCGTCGTTGTTGGTAAGTTGTAATTGGCGATGTTGTGGCTGGCTTTGATCTACAACCACTGCAGCGAGTCGTTGCTGTTGAGTCTTATCTTCGATGTGACGAGAGCTGTAATAAGCCGCCGACGACGACGATTGTTGTCGTTGTTGCTGCTGCTGCCTGTGTAACCGTTGTTGATGCCAGTTGTGTGCTTGTCGCCTTACATTGGCTGACTCAGGCAACGGCACACTTTGTGGAAAATTGAGTTGTTTTGGGTTAGCCGTTTTGTTGCTATCTCTCTGGTGGTTGCCTTATATTAGCAACCAACACCTGTTGTAAACCAAAAAATGGAAAAAAAGAAGAAAAAACAAATAAATTTAAAAAAAAAAATCAAAACACAACAAAATAACCGAATATTAGCTACCCAGTAAACAATTTTTTCCGACTGCTCTGATTTTAGATTTTTTTCCGAAATTTCTGACGTTTTTTTCAGAAATTTCTGATAGAAATTGGTCCGATTTTCTAAACGTTTTTTTTTAGAATTTCTGCACATTTTCCTATGTTTTTAAGCGAAAAAAACTCGAAAAATGTACAAACGGAGAGAGTAGATTGTCTATTGCTCTGGCATATTCTCTCCCACATGTAAACGGATGGTGGTGGTTTGACACATTCTCTCCCATTGTAGTTGTTGTTGTGATCATTCATTTCAAGATCTCAACAACAACAAAGCGCAAAGCAAAAATGCTATTTGTTATTGTTATTGTGAACTGTTAGATTTTCCGTTGTAAAAATGTGCGTTTTGTTGATGTGAATCAGCCTCTTTCTCTTTCGTTCCCAAAAAAATATGATGGAAAAAAATTGCAAAAACAACTACATACCGGTTTTCTGTGTGCACTGCTTTTTATTTTTAGTTCTTGTTTAGCAGTTGAAACAGAAACGTGCTACTGTATGTTATGTTCCTAATAAAAATAATATTTATAATGTAAATGTATTATAGATGTAATATTTAAACTACATTTTTACGAAACCCGAAATAAATTGTTTGTTTTTGAAATAAATATGTGTTTTTTTTTTTTCATTTTTAAGTGGTGTGACGATTTTTTTCGATATTTCTTCCGAATTCTGAACGATTTCTTTCAGAAAATCGGAACTTTCTCCCGAATTCTGAGCGTTTTTTTTCAGAAAATCTGAATTTTATTCCGAATTTTCTTTCGAATTCTGACCGATTTCTTTTAGAAAATCTGAATATTCCGCCGAATTTCCAGACGAATTCTGCCCGATTTCTTTCAGAAATTCGGAGTTGTCCTCCGAATCTTTTCCGAAAATCTAATTTTTTCTCCTATTTTTTCAAGAATTTTCACCGAATTCGGACCGAATTCGTCCAGAAAATCTAATATTTTTTCAGATTTTTTTCAGAAAATCTTTCCGAATTCGGTGACCACGTCCATACAACTTTCGTACCGAAATCGGAAGGAATTCGGAATCAGAATCGGACATTTTTTCAGAGATTCTGACAGAAATCGGACCGAATTCGGCAAAAATTGTTTACTGGGTATGAATTATTGTCATTTTTGTTGTCGTCGTCGTGTGTTGTTGGCAATGGTTGATTAGTTACTATTTGTTTGTTGCTTGTCTTACAAATATTTACAAATTATTGTTATTAAGTCTATGGCAAGCTTTGTCATGTTAATTGTTGGCTGGCTGACACACCACTCAAAAACTTTTCCCTTAAGGAAAAATTTTTATGAGATTTTTGTTTTCGTTTCGGTAAGTTATTGGCTGGTGGTCGGTCTCATTAACGATTGTATCTACTGTGCAAAGCTAGTTGACGTTTTTTTCCTGTGCCGCTGCTGCGGCTTGTTATTGATTTGTGGTGGCGATGGCGAGAGTCAAGTCAAGTTATAGCCGTATTGGAAAAAAACTTATTTTCGTATAAAAATCCCCATAAATTGGGATTTTCCAAATTTCGTTTGTTCGTTTCTATTTGAAAATTTATGCATGACGAAAAGGTATTTTTTTCGTGTATCTTGGTGGTGGTGGTGTGTGTGCGATTTTTTTTTCACTTGACGCAAATAGTTTTGCCACATTATTATTGTGTTGTGATGAATTCAAATGTCAAATATGTAGATATATTTTAGAAAGGTAAGTTTTTGAAGTAAAAACCTCGTCGATCATCTGTATAGACGTACCTCGGTAAATTGCATTAACTCAAATTATAATATTTGTTGCATTATCGCCACAATTTCATTAAGTGGGTTTAATTTTGTACACACAATTAAAATGATTTAATCTTAATTAGAGGGAATTAAAATTACAAACAAGTAAATAAGGTGTGATGATCGGAGAGGCCGAATTTTGCATACATTTCATCAAAAAAGAAGGAAAATACTTGAAAAACCAGTAAAGAAAGTCTTACAGTCGGGCGGGGTCGACTTTATGATACCCCACACCACTTTGCTAATTTAGTAGAACTCCACATAACAATTAAAAGTTTTTTTATGGGAGAATTCATCATACACGCTATGATTATAATTATAATTTAAAGTTCAAAGGACTAAGTATGTCGAAGCATTTGTATCTTTTAAATTCGGACTTGTATTGCCCATTTGATATATATAGGAGCTATATCTAAATCTGAACCGAACTTGACAAAATTTGGCAAAGATATTTCTGAGCTGTATTTGATATATTTCCCTGAATATCGTTGTTACGGAGTGCATATTTCGGCTGTGGGTAACAAATATAACAAATCGGATGAACAATATATATGGGAGCTATAGCTAAATCTGAACCGATCTTCACCAAATTTGACATACTAGCTTCTAGACTTAATTCGGTGCCAAATTTCATCCCATTTGGACAAATATTAGACGTTTGGTGCACAATAAAATTTAAATCGGACGAAGTTATACATAGGAGATATATTCAAATCCGAGCCGATCTCGATAAAAATTTAGTGAAGGTATTTCTGAGCTGTATTTCATACATTTCCCTGAATATCGTTGTTACAGAGTGCATATTACGGCTGTGGTTAACAAATACAACAAATCGGATGAAAAATATATATGGGAGCTATGGCAAAATCCGAACAGATCTTCACCAAATTTGACATATTATATTCTAGACTCAATTCGGTCGTAAGTGTCAAATTTCATCCCATTTGGACAAATATTAGACGTTTGGTGCACAAAAAATATTAAATCGGACGAAGTTATATATGGGAGATATATCCAAATCTGAACCGATCTCGATTAAATTTTCGCAGAGGTATTTCTGAGCTGTATTTGATATATTTCCCCAAATATTGTTTTCACAGAGTGCATATTACGGCTGCAGAGGACTAAAGTAACAAATCGAATGAACAGTATATATTGGAGCTATAGCTATATCTGAACCGATTTCGATCAAATTTGGCATACTTATTTTCAGGCCTAATTTGGTTGTATGTGCAAAATTCCATAATATTCGGGCTGATATTACACTTTTGGTGCACAATAAAAAGCAAATCGGACGAAGATATATATGGGAGCTATATCTAAATGTTTATCGATTATCCCCAATTTCGATAGGGTTCGTCCTTGGGCCAAACAAATGACTTGTGCAGAATTTCATCTGGATCGGGTAATAAATGCGAACTGTACTTTGCTCACAAAAACACATGGACAGACGGACGGACGGACAGACGGACATGCATAAATCGACTCAGAATGTGATTCTATGCAGATCATCAAAAGGAACTATGGGTCTATCTCGTTTCCTTTTGCCTGTTACAAACAAATGCACAAAGACATAATACCCTAACAAATATTCCAATAGGGTATAACAAGTAAACAAAGGCTATAGACGTGCGGGGCCGACCATGTGATACCCTACAACACCGCAATATGTAAGAAGCCCCCTTATGTCCCAATCCAATTTGGAAGATTTCGCCCACTGGTTTCTATTTGTGACCTTTATAACGAATGGAAAATCAGGAATGCTTTTAGTTGTTGATCCATTTTAACCCCAAATAGCCCTTCTGAGCCTAACCCTACCCTTGTGAAAATTTTCGTGAGGATCGGACGATAATTGCAATCTGTATAGAATAACCCCAAAATGTGTTGCAAATTCGAAACAAATAATTATTTATAAATTATGCCACATATATCCATTACTTTGTCTGCGAAGTTTGTTTTACCTTAATTATTTTGCCATACCTCGTTAGCATGACTAGAGTTAACAAATATTCCAATCGGCAATGATTTCTTCACTTATATTTTTTTCGCTTCCCACAAAAATTTGCCAAATCATTCAGGCTGACAAAAAAAAAAACACACCAGAGGGAGGTAAGAACGAAAAATGATTCATGCCCTACCTCATTTAAAACATTGGTACCGACCTTAATCAGAGAGCAACAATAACAAAAAATCATTAAAAAAATTGAGTGACACCAACAGCAATTATTTTATTTCAATTCTCAGGTTTCTCTCTGAGCGATATATGAGTGTTTCACGTTATCAACAGCACGTTCGATAACAAGCAGGTTATTGGCAGCATTTAAATTTTATTGGTTCTTGCGTTTAGTATGTCATTATGTTGTATGTAATTTATACCCTAAATGGTGCAAAATGATTTTAAACAACACGTAATCAGAGGTTGTAGTCGTGCGGGGTCGACCATGTGCTACCCTACAAAACTAAAATATAGTAGAAGTCCCCTTATGTCCAAATCTATTTTGGAAGATTTCGCTTTTGAAATTATGTCATTGAGAACTGCCCAGATATTACCCTTAGTTTTTTGACAAGGGACATTTATTAATATGTACGCACTTCGTCATGCTGTTAGTTACAGCTAAATATAAACCAATGATCATCTGAAATGCTAGATTTCTTCTCTCTTTTTAACTCTCTTCTCATACAAAATTCCGTGTCGATTGGTATCAATTGTGTGATCAGGAATCGGGATCAGAGGCCCCTCTGTATTTACAAATTTAGACTCATCTATATGATTAGCTGGTCTACGAGATTTGGCTATATTCGTCAACGAAATCAGCCCAAAAAAACCTCCATTTGTGTATTTTAAATCTCGCCTTTACAGGATGATACAAAAAAACTGCAACAAAGTCAAACGTCAAAATTTTTACATTTTTTTTTTTTTAAATTTTATTGAAAGAAATCAAAAAATGTCGGAAGTAGCACCAAATGTTGGTATAAGTTTAGATCTGTTCGAATTGGTCGCCATTGGCACGACTTATAGCCTTCAAACGGCCATAAAACCGTCATACGCAGTCCGAATGTTGCTCTGCGGTATTTTGGTCCATTCCCGGCGAAGCGCTTGCTTGCGGTGATCGA